CATATAGTATCTTACTAAAAAAATTTACAACTACAGCCATAACCCAATATAATATTGACCAACAAACTTTATGTGATTAAAGTTTTATGTGTATCTATATAACTTGTTAATTCAATTGTGTGATTAAAGTTTTATGTGTATCTATGCAACTTGATAATTCAATTGTATGTATAAAATTATGAACCCACTTCAGTCTAGTGGTATTGAACCTTGACTTAAAACTGTTCATCTCTTATGGATTGTATGTTCGAGCTCCAAAAAAAACTTTTTCTCCTTTCCCTCAATTAACTTGTAAATAATTATAATATATTCAAACATTTTCCTCAATTAACTCGTAAATAATTACAATATATTAAAAAAAATATATGTATAAAATTATAAACTCTCTATTTCCAAAAAAAAAAAAAAAAAAAAAGAAAAGAAAAGTAGACCCATAAGCCATTTGATATTTTATGAAATTCACAAGTTCGAAACAGCTCTAACATCAGAACACAGAGACAAATCAATTAAAGGAAATAAATAAATTGGGATCACTGATAAGCACATGACATCCTGGCATGCAAACAGTATCAATGACTCGACACAGAGGACCCTTTATGGATGGGGCCATATTTCAACAACTAGTGGACCCCACTAATATTTTCAATGTTGTAGAACCAATGATATCAACAGTCACGCTGTCTGATTCAGATTTTTGTACGCCAAAGTAATTCATTCTAGGTGAGCCTAAATCAGATGGTTGAGACTTCCAAAAACTAGAATAGCATGTCATATAAGAAGGGTAAAAGAGGAGCAGAGGGAATTCTAATATGGCATATTCTTGAAGGAAGCCCTAGAAATTTGTACCTGTCTCTAGCAAGCAGCATTTTTCAGTTTGAACAGCAAGTGGAGAATCTTGGGGCAGATAGAAAGTCAGATGGGTTTTTTGTTGTAGTTGTAGAGCGGAAGATGAGATGATCTACAAGGCAGCAAACACCATAAGTAGTTTAGAACCTACAACGGGAGTCAAAGGCAGTAAATACCATAAATAGTTCAAGAGTAAACCTCTAAAAGTCTCTCAATAATCCAGTTTACATGTTTCATGCCTTTTTCAAATCAAATCATTTCCTAAAGAAAGGTTCCATGCATCTTGTTTTCTGGAGAAATCCGGGGAAATTTTGTTGGTTGTGATAGAATAATATAATGAAAAAATACCATAAATGAAGCATATAGCAATTGTTACGTATCATTGTTCCTTTCAAAACAGGGGTGGGAGGTGGGACACGCTATGCCAGTGGATTCTTACATATCATTGATTTACAACTAAACCTCAATGGTCTAAACCTATTTTTAACAAATCATGATTAGGTAACATTCCCCTCAATGGTCTAATCCTATTTTTAACAAATTATGATTAGGTATCGGAATGTTTAAAGTGACAACTGGACTTAAGTTCATAAGAATTGGTCAAGAAGGACCACACAGCTAGAGTTGAGAGAACATCCAACAAAAGTCAAGAACTATGATAAAAAGAAGTCAAGAACTAAGATTTGCTTTGCGCTTATGACAAATAACTAATTCATATCATCAAGTCATATTGTGATGGGAGACACCCAAGAGCATTATGGAGGCACCACCAACCATATAATGACCTTTGGAGGTTGGCATCTCTTTATCCAGAATTACACCTCCACATGTCACCTCCAAAAATCCTTTTGTAAAATGTAAAAGATGGACATAGACAAGTACTCTCTGCATCAATTGAAACTGACATACTAAATTGTCATGTAGGTACAACCAAACCATGGTAGAACTAAATGGACTAAATAGAAAAGGACAGAGTTAACTCAAAGTTTGGCAACATGATTTAATGCTACTAGCTTTGCTACAGAAGATCACAAGAATCTAAATTCCCCACCCCCCCTAAAAAAAAAAAAAAAAGAAGAAGAAAAAGAAAAAGAAAATTGTAGAAAATGCATAAAACCCATCATGTACTAGGACAACTAAAGAAGGCAGAACATAGAGTTGAAGCAAGTCCACTATGCATGCAGAAAAAACAATACAAGTCTTGTCAAGATGGTTTTAACGAATGTTTTCTAGAGAGAATGCCATTGCCCAGTGCCTGTGCTGAAGAGTGTAGAACTACCCATGCAAGTACTAAATTAGGCAAAACAATAAGGCTAGAAATATTTTAATCTCAAAGGGGTGGCCTCTTCAGAATGGGATAACTTTTTGACAAGTTAAACAAAAAATGAAGATCAATTTAAGGCATATTGCACCACCTAGCATTGATACCTAAGGGTAACATGAGATCTGAGACAAGCCAAAGGAATTTAAATCATTAATATAAGCAGCTTACAAAATAGTTTAATCAACATGATTCACTTTCCAAATATTGCAGCTGATTTTGATCCATGCAAACTAATTCTTACTCTAGTGCCCTAGCTGAAACAGGGTGGAAGGATGAAACGTGCATAAATCAGACATGGAAGAGACATACACTTACACTGAAAGAAAACAACTGAGCATCCTGTTATTAAGAGGAAGAAATATTGTTACTGCTCTTCATAATATGGTGGTGTTGACTGAACACATAGTTCATTCTCATCCCCTTCATCATCATCTTCCTCATCTGCATCTATCCAGTTACTAGGATGATGTTGTGAAAACCCCAGGCCATGGCCATTAATTTGGGACCTATCTGGGCGCAACAAATTTGAAAATGTCAGCTACTAGAAAGAGATGATACTTACAAGATCAGTCCAACTAACTAGTCTTCTGACTACCTTGGGCTTCTTTGACATTATCCTTTTCTGCAGGATGACAGCTAATATAAACAGTCAAGGAAAGGCAGTACAAAGGGTCAACACAAACAAAGGAGCATTGCTAATCTGTCCATAGAATGCTGCAAAAGCAACTTTTAAGCAGTACTCACTGCCCAGTTGACAGCAGCCATAGCATGAGCAATTGGAAACTCTGAAAATTTATTGACAAGACCTTGATGAGGACATGTTGAAGCAAACAGTTATATACTCATATATAGGATACAAGCTTGGACCAGCAGGATCTTTATCTTTGGGAGGTGCATCCTTTGTTATCTGAATCATGCTAATTCTTTGAATCTCCCTCTGTTCACTAGTATTCAAGTTTTGTTTCCCTTGTAGCGGCCTTTCTTCTACAACATCACTGCTTCTTGTTGCACTTCCTGAGCAAAGCCATAGTGTGCAAGGTTTTCAATGAAGACATAATACCATCACTGAGAAAATTAAATAATTACCTGAAAGGTCAGACCAAATTCGGGTGTGATCAGATGGATGCTCAGAAACATTTGCTCTACACCTCTCTTGTTGTCCTTGTGATCCTGGCCCAGGCATAGCTTGGTCATGCATTGTTGTAGCTGCTTGTGGAGGTATGGAGGGATTGCCTTCATGTAGCTGTGATATAAGCATGGTTGCAAGTACTAGTGTGGCGTCAAAGCTTGAGCCAGAGCCATCATCAAGACCAAATTTTGGTGCCATCAATATTGGCCTGTTTCCCAAATACAGAGTTTTCAAATTTGAATTCAAATTTGCATGAAGTGAGAATTATGGGTATGCTTAGTATCATGGTCATTGCTGGTTTTTAGTTTTGATTGCCAAAAATTTAGAAATGTTAGATTAAAACCCATTCAGTATTTTGATTGGTTTCCAAAAATACAAAAATGGCAACAATGTTTCAGCAACTTCTGGAATTTAAAATTCCTTTCATCTGTTGCCACAAGAGAAAAGCAGCTAGTAAACTAACTAACAAGTTATCAGTTTCAGTTTGAAGTACTAAACAAGATTACAAATTAATTTTCGGGCAAAGGATTACAAATTAATGATATTTTCTGTTCTATTAAGTTGTCAGAAAACTTGTACTAAAAAAACTGTCAGTTTCAGTTTTTAGTCTTAGTTTCCAATTGTCAATTTTGGTTTCTTGTTTTGGTTTTCAAATTTAACACTGTGGTCAACATGGATGCATAAATAGCAGTTGATAGAATAATTATTTTGAATAAGAAGCAGAATTCGATAGATCATCACATTAATTCATGAAATGAATCTTTAAGTTTCAAAAACTAGCTGTGTATCAGTTGCAACCAACATGGATTTGTGATGAAACAAAGATGCATGTAAAATTAAAGCAGCTTGTGAAATACTTCATAATAGTTTAGTTATGATAATGATTTCAGAATTACAAATAAATATTAATTTAAAAAAAAAAAAAAGAAGTAAAACCTTGCACATTCAAACTCTTCACACCTTATTTCTTGATAATTTGATATCTAAGAAAGTATTTACTACCTCATTTTATTGTCTCTCCACTTGTTTTCTGATTTACTTACCATTTATTAATTTTATTTTGAAAATGTATCATGTAGTTAGCCAAGATTAACTACAAGTTATTTTAGGGTATTTCTATATTGTTGCTTGATGAAATAGCCAATGCCTGTTTTCATGGTCAGTGTATCATTGGCAATTTGGCATCCATGGTGGTTGGATAAAACTAGTTTTTACCATTAAACTGTAGAAGTAAACAAAATGTGAAGAAAAGGTAATAAGGTCAAGCAGATATTACATAGAAAAATGGAGTGGAAAGAAGAGGAAGTGTCTTACTCGCCCGCCTTGTCAAAAAACAAATGAATGTCAACCTCACATCCTTCACAGAAAGAAAGAAATGCCTGTTCATAACACCTCTTGCGGTTATAAATGTGAAACCTCATTGAAACAAGGTTCATCCTCACAGAAAAAATCATTAAAATTTTAAAAGAATTGTGATGAGTAGTATGGTAATAATAATTAATCTTAGTATTTATGAACAGTGCCTGGTTCAAGTGTGGTTTATCATACCTTCAATTCCTTCATACTAAACGTAACATCTACAGGGTCTCCATTGTGGGTATACTGCACAAACTCTTCCGTAGGGTCTATCCATAGTTGAGTATGCAATGACGCATCATTGTCTGCATTTGACAGATGGAAGTATAAATTTTCTTTCCTGATAAAGTAACAAAAAATCAAGATAGCTGAGTACCTTTAGTTACATCTATATAACTTCTGAGTTCAACAGCTTTTCCACCAATTTCACTTGCAGCATCAGAAGGCAAGGAGGTAGGCTCTGTTGCAATGATAGTAATCTCCTGAAGGGAAGATTGAAAATTAGCAAGCAATCTGTTTAGATCACGAGGCCTCACTACAAAATTACTTGGAAATCTTCTTCTATCAAGAGACAAATGCTGTATATCAGGCTCAACATTGCAAGTAATCCAATATGCTTTTCTCATTCCTGCATAAAAGAAATAACAAAATTGTTACAAACCCAATATTTGTTCCTCTATATGGGATTTGGAAGGTATAATGAACTGTTGGATGAAAACAACTGCATGGTGGAGTTTTCTTTGGAAGCATAATTGGGGTATCAAATCATATTAACCCTCCATGTGGTTCATGGAAAATGATTTCCTAAAAATCATAGCTAAGACAATTAATTAATGTATAAATGGAAGTAAAATACTTAGAGATAGAAAGAGGAAACTCTTTTCCTTTTCTTGCAGAAGAAGTTGCTTTCTCAGAAAAGAAAAAGAGTATTTTCAATCTCATAAGTATTACAACACTCATGTATTTTATTAATAAGTTGTGTTGCCTATGATTTTTTGAAAATCATTTTCTGCGACCCAAACAGATAAACTATATTTTCAAATGTCACCAGAAGATCAAACTTGTAGATCTATTTTAGCTTTTTGTTTGTGTTACTTAATAGAAAGCATAAGATAAAACCTAACTGAACTTGTATTCGTACCAAGTGCAATCATCATACAAAGTTATTCTGATTATGGATCATTAAGAATATGCGGACAAAGATAATATACAATAAACTACAACTCAAGTACCATAACCCAACACCATTACAGTCCATTACCCACAAAACCAGAAACAAATATTTTGGGCTTTCCTTCTTGATGGCACGGATCATCATATCAGCATAGCTCTATTCTCTATGTTACCACAATCTGAACATTACTACCATAATTAGAAATACTCTTTTCTGAAAAGCATCATATTACAGATATAGAAGTTTAAGAAAGTGTTTGTACCAAAACATTCCCTGAAAAAGATTTTGTAAAACCATTAAGGAAATGATCCTGTGAGTTTTCCAGAAAAGGAATACAAGTCTGTGATTCCATTGTCTATTTACCTTTCCTAAAGCCCATTTGAATTCGATGCCCGTAATCCCATTGTCTTATAGATTTGACTGTAAAAGTACCATATAAAAAGAATATTCAAATAATATGGTTCCATTCCTACCATCGCTTATGGACCACTCCTGGTTGTTGGACAAATCAAGATTTCTTCATACAAAGCAAAATGCATGAGATACAGCATAGAAGAAACTCTTATTTTCACCCCTTGGCCTACATATACTGTTCAGCAAGATGGAAGATGTGCAAGAACATAAAGAAAACCTTACCACTAAAGCATTCCAAAGTCCATTGCACTTTTGATGCATCTGGATCAGCCAATTCCACAGTCAAATGATCAACGCTTGCAATAGGAGTCCTAAGAACAGAACAAACAGCCTAAACCCGCCAAGTCACTGAGAATTCTGAATTTCACAATCCTTTCAGGTCAGTTCTAAGCAACAAAAGATGACACCATACCTTCAAAAGCACACTACACTGAACTTGTGTCCCAGAAATTCTATAAACGTCAAAGAAGTGGGTCTTAAACGTGTGAGACTGATAGGCGGACCTGGATGAATTGAGTGTGTGAAAAGCAAGCTGCAAATAAAGTACAAAAACCACAATCAATTGCTACTTTAACCTTATTCTCGACGAGAGTAGCACTAATTACACTTCAAATTCCACTCTGTCTGTTGCTGAAAAACTCCAATCAACTAAAAACCACTCATTCAAAGCCATTTCTCTAAGAAATCTCGTAAATAAACTAAGATACAAATATATCATCAAATCCAACCTTCAAAAACTCGTTTCCTTTGATTTCCCTTCATTTCCAGCGATCAACCATAGCCTACAGCCTAGATTTATACCCTAATTTGTTTAATAAAAAACCTAAAAGAAATTCAGTATTTCTCAGAAAAATTGCCTAAGAATTAGAAACGAATTACTAGAATAATTTCGCATAAAGTGGAAAAAAAAATCATGTAAATTAATCGAAGTAAGAGATGGAATAAGAAAACTAAAAGAGGTGAAGGTGACGCCGGAAACTCACCTGAGAAGGAGAAGCTTGGATGACGAGCTCGCTACCTACGCGGGCGAGGCACGTGACCGACCGAGCGAAAGTCTTGAGGGCGTTGCCGCTGAGACTAAACTCCATCCTTTGGCTTCCTCTCTCTCTCTCTCTCTCTC